TTTCTAATTGTACTCAAATGATTAAGGTAAAATAAAAACAGTTCTATTTACAATTTGACTCCTCTAAAAATATTCAGTGATTTTTTTTTAACTGTTTTCATCTTTGTTGATATTTTTTCAGAAATCTCATCAGGAGTTGAACAATGCTGGAAAATAAACTTACTGAAATGCAAAAAATAAATAATTATGTAAAAAAGAAAATTCCAGAATATTAGGGTGTTTGGAAAGTAATTATGCTATATAAATAAATTCACTATAATATAATTTCACATAATGTCAACCATCCAAGGCAGAACCAAAGTTGAATGGTAGGAAACTGCATCTAGAAAAAGTTCATCATTGGACTGTGTATCCTCTATAGTGCATTTCAGAATTTAAGATCATTGCTTACTGTATGAACTTTGAAAGGGTAGTACTGTTACAGAGACATTTAAAAACATATTTTGCAGTGTGTATGGATTCAGTGAAGGCCTGCAATTTAAAAGTTTTAAAAATAATGACTCTGACATATCTGACAAACCTCGCTTTGGAAGAAAACCCATTCTAAATTTTTTAAATCTGTTGAATTGGATCCACATCAAAGTACCAGAGATTTGGCATAAAAACTTAATTTGGCATTAAATTTGGCATTAAAATTAGTGTCTGTCATGATCTTTTGCTTGAGAACTGAATACAACATTCTGCTATCTACAACAACCTTATATTTTTGCATCATTGTTAAAGGTAATGAAAAATGGATTTTGTATATTAACAAAAAATTAAAAAGAAAGCACTCAACATAATATGAGAAACCAGGACTCTATCCACAGGATGGTTTGTATCTGGTTGAATATGAAAGATATCATTTATTATGAGCTAATGGAACATGGTAGAACAATCACTGCAGACATTGATCTGGTAAATGAAACATTACATTGAAAGTGTTCTACTTTGGCAAACAGAAAAGATGTTAGTCTCCAGCATAACAATGCAAGGACACACTATGCAAAACAAACCCATGAGATCACTAGGATAGGCAGTTTTTCAATAACCCTTATACTCACCAGATTTAGCACCAACAGATTTCCATTTGTTTTGGGCACTGGAACAAATGATCAATGAGCAGAACATTCAGAAACAAGGAAGAAGCTAAAAACAGTCTTGAAAACTTTTTTGAGAAAAAATGTCTATATTTTTTTAAAATATTGTTCACCCTATACAAGGCTCTAGCACCACTCAAAGAAGAGGGTTGCTGATGTTGTTGTAAGGAGCACAGTTTATGAGGATATGTGTGAAAAATAACAGTTAACCCTAGACTTGAAGAAGTTAAGATTGTCATGGTCAGGAAAGTATCCTCCTGGGATTTTTTTCCACAAGGCAAAGTTTTTGTTTTTTTTTTACAGTAAGGTTCACCCTTTACAAGATTTGAGGGCCACTCAAGGTATAGGGTTATGTTAGGAGTTCATTTCTGTATACAGGAGTGGAAGATAATGTTTAATCCTAGCCTTGAACAGGTTAAGATTGTAGTGATTGGGGAAACATTCTGTTGGGATCAGTTCCACAGGGCAATAGTTCATGGGAAGAAGCTGTTCGAGTGGGACTTACTATATATACTTGCATATCATGCAATTTTTGAAGACATAATTTTTAAGCTAATTTTAAGGTTGCCACATCATACAGGAGATATAAAATTAGCATATGTACTGCTGGCCCTGGTTATGCCATTGACCAAAATATATATCTTTCTTAACCTTCTTATTGCTTATGGCCTCAAAAAGCTTACTAATGATACTGAGGCAACTGATGGATCTGTAGTGAGAAGTGGAAGATCACACATCCATATTCTTGAAAACTAGGCATACACTTGACACCTTCCACAGGCTTGGGAAGGATTTCTCCTTCAAGCAACTTCACTAGGATTGGGGATAATTCCAGGTTGATATTCTTAAGAGCAACTGCTGAAATTTTGTCTGGGCTTTTTTGTCAGCGGCTTTTGATAAGTCTAGAGACTTCTTGTGCTGTAATGATAATATTACTAAGATTGTGCTCAGTGAGATGTGGAAAGTTGGGGGTGGACTTTGTCGTCTAATGTTGAGTTAGAGGCAAAGATCAAAGAAAAGAGGTTCACCTTGTCTGTTGAGAAAGATATGACCTCAGGACCATTTATAATTGTGGGCACAGCTGCTTTACCTCTGTTCATGATTTGGTTGGTGATATTCCAGAATTCACGGGATCCCATTTGTTTCTTTTCAAACTTGTACTGGACTGCTTTTACATTGCTTCACTTAGCATTTTCTAGAACTTTTTGCAGCAATTGTGGATAGTTTTGAATGCAGTGAGGGCCAAACTACATCATTCCTTATGATAGATATTGAACTTGTGAGAGAATACACTTACCTCACCAGGCAAAGCTGGCACATACCTGTTTGATGTGTAAGTCCAACATGGTCAACGTTGTGAGGGAGCAACGATGTGATGCATGGTCACGAGGGCAGCCATTTGCAATCATCCCACTATGCATGCATGACAATAAGCTTTTTAGCACTATTGGTCATTTGCATGCATTATTGGAAATAGTAATAAATAGTGGATTGCACAATCAGATAGGGAGGGAACTCATAGTGTATGGAACATTTATTTGGATCAGAGTGCATAGAAGTTTCACTGTGAGAGTTGAACCCTGTTGATTTGTTGTGAGACCTGTGCATTTTTTGTTCTTGGCTTGTGACTGTTGACTCTCCCACCATATTGTGATTTAACTTCAGAAGTAGTGGTTTCAGTGAGTTAGGCTGCAGCACATTCAGGAGTGAACCAGGGCTGACTGTTTGGTTTTTGCTGAAATTTTGGGGGAGATATAAAACTCTCCAGAAGGGATCTAATCAGTGACAAGGGCAGCAGTTTTGGGGGCAGCATGCTTGAAGAAGAGTGGGAAGGGAGATTCCATCATGTCCCAGTCTGCCTTCGCATAGCAAAAATTGTTCTATGGAATGGTACATTAGATGATGGCTTAGGTTTGGCATCAATCTGGACACTGATTTGGGAATGGTCTGACATGCCTGGTTTAAACTTTTGCTAAGCATTTAACAGGGCAGGAGGTTAGAAAGAGTTTGAAGAGGTTTGCCTGATGTCTCGTCGTGTCTGGAACACAGGTAGGTTCTTCAATGATCTGGAGATCATAGGTGATGGAGAAGTCTCTGCAATATCTGCCTTCATCATTGGTTTTGTTGAAGTGGACTAACCATTCTTTATGTTGGATACTGAAGTCACCACAGATATGGAATATAGCTGAGGGAAACTTAGTGAGGATATTATCAATCTTCTCAGATATTCAATCAAAGATTACCATCCCTTTGTCATGAGGGTAATAGAAAGCAAAGACAAATGAGGTACTATGCATAAGTGCCACAGGGAAGCACATATATGGGAGATCAGGATCCTTGTTTTTTGTGTATATGCCACTGAGAAACTTGTTCTTGATGTAGGCTCTGAGTCCATGGCCATGACAATTTAGGTGGTTGTGTTTTGCTATAAGAGGTGAGCTCTTCTAGTGTGGTTGAGGCATTGATTCTGGTTTCAGAAAGTAACAGGTTGGTTTGGACTGAAGAAAATGACATTCCACTTTTGGAAAGTTGGTATGTAGAGACCTCATGTTGGTGTAAGAGATGGTATATGTGGGGTCTGCTTTGTTGGATTTGCTAGTTTTGTTCATTTTCATTTTGAATGATTTCATCTGTGTATTGGTTGGTGGAAGACTAACAGGTAGTGGGACAGACACACCCACAGGAGTTGTATGTATAAATAACCTGGAGAGAATTGTCCAGAGATGTTGCCACAGCAGTACTCTTAATCATGTTATCAAAAGACCCACCAGAGCACAGTCCAAAAACCATTCACAAAAATGGCAGTACAATAGCCCCAATATTATACACCTGCTTATAGGATAGCCACTTTCGGAGATACTCAAAGGTTCAGATCCCTGACTATCAGGCGGATAATGCCAAAACCCAGAAAATGTCTACCTCCAGCACCCTTAGTGAAGGGACAATCAACTCAGGAAAGAAGATACATGTGTGATGCTCTGAGTGAACATGTGTCTTCCCAGAAGTCAAGACATCAAAACTCCTCCTTAGGTCAGAAACATTGTACCAGTCTGAGGCCTAAAGGCACTGAAACAAGTTCGTACATGTACATGAGATATTAAAAGGCCCATTGGAAGAGCGAGGTAATGAGGGTTGTTCAGGGATATATGTGTATCACCTACCCCCATTTGAATTAGTATAGTAAATGGTTACAAAGGTGGGAGCATGCAGTAGACAAGTTATCTATTCAACAAAAAAAATTCAGGCTTATAAAGGAAAAACATTATGGATCAGAGGGAGGGTTGAGTATAGGGAGTGTGAAACAGCTATAAAGTTTTAACTTAGTATAAGTTCAAATATCCACTTTTTTAGAAAGTGGACAGACAGACTCCAACGCTCAGTTTAACACACTGGAATGTTTGAGAAATTTCTCAAATGTTACAGGCCAGTAAATGTAATTAGTACTGTTTAATTAAAAACAGAACATTTTCTTAAATAAATTGTATCTATAAAAATAATGTATAAACAGAAAATATATTAAATAATTGTCAGACTTAATCCATTTCATTATATGCTGTTATTGTTTACATTAAGATACGTTTCGTGGGCAGATATGATCTATCAAGAAAAATCACTAAAGATTGTGTGTTTAAAAACAGTTATTTAGACTTTGTTAACCATATGCTTTTCTGTAGGTAAATAGTATAATACATCAGATCAAATGACAGTTTCCATATAGGAATACAGATTGGATTCCTGTCGGAGAACAAATATTTTCTATGAAATTTCTCAAACATTCAGGCCGGTAAATGTAATTAATACTGTTTAATTAAAAAAACTGTTAAGCAACCTTGATACTGGCCGGTACATAGATGGGTGACCACTTGGAAATATCAGGTGCTATAAGCTTAGATTTGCAGGTGACATAATGGATAATGGCTTGGCACTGTTATACTGGTTCCTGTATGATCACTGAAGTTAAGCAACCTTGAGCTTGGTTAGTATCTAGATGGGTGACCACTTGGAAATATCAGGTGCTGTAAGCTTATATTTGCAGGTGGCGTAAAGGATAACGGCTTGGCATTGTTAATCAAAGAGCCAAGTTCCAATTCTAGTTGGGGAAGGTATGAATCCACCTCTTCTCCCTCAAACTATGGATTAGTTAGTAAGACTTGTATCATTAAACCATTATTATTTCCAAAAATGAAATAAAATTGTGTACAAAATATTTACATATTGGCATTAAATAACCGATAGATGTAATATGCTGCTAAACAACTAACCAACCAATATATATGTTTAGCTATAATTTATGTGAATCCACTATCATGTAGCCCTTAAGGATAAGAAAACTATCATGTGTTCTTTAGCTACTACTTGTCAAAAAGGCAACACATTTTCACTGTAACTGACCACCATTCTCAATGAAAAAGGTTCATGCATCATACTAATGATATCCTTTTGTTTATCCATTTTTCCTTTTGAGAGATACATTTGTCATTTTTCCTTTGGCAACCGTTAAAATTCAAGTCTCTAATTAAAGAATAGTGGTGAATGAAATAAGCAAAATATGAAAAAATAAACACCAATGATTGCAATCATTATAAAAAATATTTTATATCAACAACTGTTCATCTGTAAATTTTAGACAAAAATAAAAATAACATAACAAACAGTTTTATAAAATCCATTGAGGTATTTAATATATTTTATTGAATTATATTATTTGATAGAAACTCTCAAAAAACAAGAAACAGGATTTATCAAATTTCTGAAAACTTATGAAATGAAGCTTTAAATTATGCAATGTTTACATGTCATATTTGAATTTGAATTTGAAAGTGGTATGGTATATAGAGATGCAGGTTTGGCTAATACATAAGTAAAGGCCAAATTTACTGTCTATAGTACCATTTTATTGTTGACTCGATTTGGTTACAGTGGTTAAAATGGTTAACTATCATTTTAGTCCTTTTGTGATTTGAGAGTTCATACAGGGTTGTTGTATTTTTGGCTGACAGAAATTAATTTGTTGAATTCAATCCTTTCTTCTTCTTTTTCTTCTCGAGTTGTACATCCAGTTAAACTCAACATCCAATGAATCTCCAGCCCTTGCATCTTGAACTGCTACATCGAACCAGTTTTCCACTTCTTCTCTTCTTCTGCTTAGCACATTGTTTTTTACTTCTTTTTATTGGGCCTGGCACATCCATGTTTTCCGTTTGATTTTTGGCAGGACATGTCATTGGTTGATTTTTTTATGATGTACACTGACCCACATAAGCTATGTCTGGGTTGTGTCAGTTATCGAGGATAGGAACAATAGAAGGAAGGAAAAGAAGTATGTGAGGGAGAGAGAGAGAGAGAGAGAGAGAGAGAGAGAGTTTTCTTTGTCACTCACTTAGTGAAAAGTAAAGTGTATATTTCTATATGGTGTTACTACTACCTAATCCTACTACTGTAGAATCAGTGTTTTTATTTCAAATTCTGCTAATGCCTGCTTATTTCACTTTAAAATGATGCCATTGATTAAGAACCTAGATCTTGGTGTGTCTTGTCTTTTATTGAATCTGTGGTTTTGCCATTATGCTATGATGGTAAAAAGAGTAGGGATAGTGAGGCTACTGTAAATGCAACTCAGGAAGGATTAATGATAGAAATAACAGCTGACTACAATAGCCCACAAGAATTTCTTGTTTCCTATAATAGTGAAAATCATAAACTTCTATATAAATAAGCTTGATATTTCAAGCTGTGTACTATTTTACCGTACACCATAAGCTCAATAAAAGGCTTAATATAGTGACTATTCGCAGCATTTCTCTTAATGGAATAGCTTTAAACAAAGATGTCTGTGCTCTGGAGTGAAGTTTGAATGAGTTTTATGCTTGATTTTTAATGAACTTTGCAACCAACAAAAACACTTAGTACTCATGGAAAATTTACTTTGTTTACAGCTCTAAAAATATTGCAGGTATAGCTGAGAGCAGAAGGGCTAAGAGTTCAAAGAGTTAATATTAGAGACAGAAGATTTTTTTTCAATATGGCTGTTATTTGAAGAATAACACAGAAACAAAAGTAAATTGAGTTTGATTTGTTATCCTGGAAAGGGGAAGCATAAACAATATAGTGTTAAGTTGTATATTTTTGGTTTTCTTGAGACTCATTTAACAGGATTAGTAAAAGCAGTATTTGACTTTTTTCTTTCATCATGGCTCAGAATAAACTCTAAAATATACAAATTATCAGCTCACGTAAAAATCAATAAAATACCAAGTGTCCAGTTAATACTGATTTGTGCTTTCATTATGCTAAGTACAGACATTAAAAGCCAATGATGCTTCTTCTGTTGCAATAGTTAGCAACCTGATTTTGTAAGCCATTTCTAATGAGTTTTATCCCCTCTGGGTGTTCAGTTATTGTTGCTATGTGCTAGATAAAGCCAAGTTTTGTAGTTGTAAATATTGTGTGATTTATGGAGTGTTTAAGTCTACTAAGATATTTTTTTTCTTATATTTCTTATTGTGGAAAATATCTTCACGAAAACATTTTTTAAAAGTTCATATATGTTATGGCTTCAAAGTGATTATTCATAGATTGGTTTATTGAAATGTTTCTGCTGACCTTTGGCAACCATTACAAGGTCTCTAATTAAAGAATAGTGGTGAATGAAATAACCAAAATATGAAAAAATAAATGCTAATAATACTAAGTTGGAACATGTTCTAAAAATAGAACATGTTCCAGCATACACTTAGGGCTTCTAAAAACTCCGGTTGAAAAACTAATTGACTATTTTCTGTATCTCTTTTTTTTTTAACAAGACAACCTTTTTACAAGCATAGAATCAATATCCACACGTTTACCCCTTTCTGCACAGAGTAGCTAAATCTGGTTGGACAAACATATGAATATGTTTATAATCTAATTATACCAATTGGTTGTAGAAGAATAAACATTTTCAAATCAGCTTAAACAACATGGCAGCTTCTCTGTCGCAGTGGTATGCTTTGAAATTTATCATTTATTATTTGATTCTTTATTGATAAATGATTGATAGAATGACAATTAAGCATAATTACCTAGGAGACCTTGACTGATGATTGGTTTGAAGCAAAGGAAATAATTGAATTAAGCTTTGATGATGACTTGGCCTTTAACAATATGAGCACTAGGCCAAGTGTATGTATAATATAATATAATATTTTACATTTTTCAGCAATTTTATTGCATTGACTTTTCAGGACTGATTGATTGATTAATTTGTTTTTTATGGCTTATCAGCCTTTTGCAGGTTATTTAAAGTTAGAAAAATATTTTTAGTTTATAACAATTTTTGGAGATAATAATGATTTACCAATACACATTCTACTAACTAACCCATAGCTTGGGATAGCTGAGATTGATTCATACTTTTCTAAAGGGTATTTGCACATAAGTGAATATAACAAACCTGACTGGAATTGGAACTTTTCTCTCCAATTTCCAATTTCCAGCCATTATCCATTTTATCATCTGCACATACAAGCTTACAGCACCTGGTATTCCCAAGCATCTAGGTACTGAACCTGTTCATGGTTGCTTAACTTTGGTGATTGTACAAGAATTGGTGTTTCAAAGCAATATGATCATAAGCCAAGTTTTCAGGTAAATGGCCCAAACTAGATACTAGTGAGTAAAAAATGCTTCTACCATACAGCATAAGTATAATCCTACCAGAATATAACTTGTGTAGATAGTTCACAAATTGAATTTATATTTGAGTTAATTTAAAACTGATAACATTTAAAAATAAAATCAGTTTAGTTTATTTTTTTTGTGTGTATGTGTGTGTATGTGCATGCGTGTATGTGTGTGTATGTGTATGTGTGTGCATGTTTTAACAAGACAACATTTTTACAAGTATAGATAGAATCAACATCCAAACTTTAAGAACCTTAAATACTTGTGAACAGCCTGCTTCTATATTGCAGACACAAGAATAAACTTCAATACAGATAAAATAAGGGAATGATTTCAAAATGGGATCCTTGCAGAGGAAAGAAAAGGAATTACTTTTGTTATAGACAAGCGTATGGTTGCAAGAAAGAAATACGACAACAGCAGAAATAGGTTTACGTGGTTTATTTCAACAGGAACGTGAGGGTTTGGGACAGCTACCTTGTGGTAAAGTTCATAAGCCAGCTTCGGATCTAGGTCGATCTCTCATAGTAGTTCACACATGTTGACGGTGGTTGATGCTCCCCTGCTGTCAGCTGCTGACCGTGACTGGTCTCTACCCTGGGCACCTGTGGACTGCCTGTTGTACTTCCGTGTGACCCCTTTTATAGCGTTTTTTATGGCTTAACAGGCTCGAAAAACAAAGCGAGTATAATTAGGAGGGAAGCATTTTTATTGGACGAAAAATAGAACACTTTAAATATTATTTTATTTTTCGACCGGAACACATGTGTTGGGAACATTTGTAAATGAAGATAATGGTCATTTTGGGATGGGGTTTTGTCCCGTTCACATCCGGCTCTCACTCTTGAGTATTTGCCTGTAAATCAGCCGAGATATGTCTTATTTTATTTTATAACACTTTAAACTGGGAAAAACACCATCAATCATGGAACATATGGGCCACCATAGATTGCAGTTACTGATGAACAACTTCAATTCTTTTCCTGACAGATGATAGTAACCTTGTGACTATCACTTCATGCAAAATTTTAAATACCTTTTGTACCCAAGTATATTCATCAGTATTATAAAATTTCCACTTGTATATATGGTCTTTTCACCATATATACAAGTGGAAATCTTATAATACTATCACCTGATGAATATACTTGGGTACAAAAGGTATTTTGCAAATAGCCACCAGCATGCAAAACAGTTTCTGTTTTGCTTCAAGTAGGAAATTTATCAAAAACAGTTTGACTAGATTCTAGTAATTTCTAAGAATAAAGATCCCTTTAAATCCCAGCAAAGAAGGACATTTTCTCCAGTAGATTCCATTTAGGTTGAGATATTGAAGGCTGTCTTTAATCTATGATTATTTT